GCCCGCCCGGCCGCGCGCGCCTCCTCACGCGCCCTTGCGGCCCGCAGGACTGCGGGAAGGAGTTCACGCACACCGGGAACTTCAAGCGGCACATCCGCATCCACACGGGCGAGAAGCCCTTCTCGTGCCGCGAGTGCAGCAAGGCCTTCTCCGACCCGGCCGCCTGCAAGGCCCACGAGAAGACCCACAGGTAGCCGCGCCCCGCCCGCGCCCGCGCCCGCCGACCGCTCTCTGCCCCCAGCCCGCTGAAGCCCTACGGCTGCGAGGAGTGCGGCAAGAGCTACCGGCTCATCAGCCTGCTGAACCTGCACAAGAAGCGGCACTCGGGCGAGGCGCGCTACCGCTGCGAGGACTGCGGCAAGCTCTTCACCACCTCGGGCAACCTCAAGCGCCACCAGCTGGTGCACAGCGGCGAGAAGCCCTACCAGTGCGACTACTGCGGCCGCTCCTTCTCGGACCCCACCTCCAAGATGCGCCACCTGGAGACGCACGACACGGACAAGGAGCACAAGTGCCCGCACTGCGACAAGAAGTTCAACCAGGTGGGCGGGGCCGGGCCAGGCGGCCGGGGCGGGGCGGGCTTGGGGCCGCCATTCCGTCGACCTTGAGGAAAGATGGCGCCGCCCACCCCCCTCCCTCCTGCGGCCGCCCCCTGCGGAGGGGACGCCGAGGGGACCCAAGGACAGCCCCGTGGCGGGGCCCTCTGACCCCCTGCCTGGGCACAGGTGGGGAACCTGAAGGCCCACCTGAAGATCCACATCGCAGACGGGCCCCTCAAGTGCCGGGAGTGTGGGAAGCAGTTCACCACCTCAGGTAGGACCCGCCGCCCGCCTGTCGCGCCCCCCGCCCCCGCCCCCCGCGGCGCCCCAGGCCAGGTCCCCCTCGGTCTCGCCACAGGGAACCTGAAGCGGCACCTTCGGATCCACAGCGGGGAGAAGCCCTACGTGTGCGTCCACTGCCAGCGGCAGTTTGCCGACCCCGGAGCCCTGCAGCGGCACGTCCGCATCCACACGGGTGGGTGAGCGCGGGCAGCGGGCAGCGGGCGGGCCGGGAGAGCCGGGTGCCAACGCTTCTGCCCCGCAGGCGAGAAGCCGTGCCAGTGCGTGATGTGCGGCAAGGCCTTCACCCAGGCCAGCTCCCTCATCGCCCACGTGCGCCAGCACACCGGGGAGAAGCCCTATGTCTGCGAGCGCTGCGGCAAGAGGTCCTGCCCCTCCCCGCGCCCCCTTGCCGAGGGTGGGCCCTAGCTCAGCGCCCTGACGGGGGTCAGGGAAGACACCAGGGCCCCACCGCCCGCCCCGGCCCCGGGCCCGGGCGTGCCCCTGTCCAGAAGCCGAAGCGTGGGGTCCTGGCCCAGCCTGGCCCGGCCTGACCGGGCAGCTCAGGACCCGCCCCTCCCTCTGCCGCCCGCAGGTTTGTCCAGTCCAGCCAGCTGGCCAATCACATTCGCCACCACGACAACATCCGCCCCCACAAGTGCAGCGTGTGCAGCAAGGCCTTTGTGAACGTGGGGGACCTGTCCAAGCACATCATCATTCACACCGGTGAGTGCGCCCACCTTTTGGCCCGTGTGGGAGGCAGGAAGGGCTGGTGCTGGCCGTAGGTGGTCCTGAAGGCAGTTCAGTTCAAGCGAGGGCCCCGTTTTCACAGAGCTTCCACAAGGTGGAGGTCCCTGGAAGCTTCTGTGCAGCTCAGGTGGCTGCCCGAGAGCACTTCCTGCTGGAAAAACCCTGGGCTGCAGGGAAGCTGAGGCCACTGAGGTCCTGCACCCCCCCCCCCCAATGGCAGGAGAGAACCTTGCCTCCTCCCCCAGGAGAGAAGCCTTACCTGTGTGACAAGTGTGGCCGCGGCTTCAACCGAGTGGACAACCTGCGCTCCCACGTGAAGACCGTGCACCAGGGCAAGGCTGGCATCAAAATCCTGGAGCCAGAGGAGGGCGGTGAGGTCAGCGTGGTCACTGTGGACGACATGGTCACGCTGGCCACCGAAGCCCTGGCAGCGACAGCTGTCACCCAGCTCACAGGTGCGGGAGGCGGGAAGTCGCGTGCTCACGGGCAGCTTGTCTGCAGGGCGGCAACAGAGGGGCCGCTGCCTCTGGCCTGAGGTCCTGATTCTGCCCACAGTGGTGCCCGTGGGGGCCGCGGTGACCGCCGACGAGACGGAAGTGCTTAAAGCAGAGATCAGCAAAGCTGTGAAGCAAGTGCAGGAAGAAGGTGAGAGGGGCCATCCAGGGTGTGGAAGCTGGTGGACCCCCAAAGGTGCGTCCACTCCTGACCGCAGCCCCCACCCCCCACAGACCCCAACACCCACATCCTCTATGCCTGTGACTCCTGTGGGGACAAGTTCCTGGATGCCAACAGCCTGGCCCAGCATGTGCGGATCCACACGGCCCAGGCTCTGGTCATGTTCCAGACGGACGCAGACTTCTACCAGCAGTACGGGCCGGGCAGCACGTGGCAGGCCGGGCAGGTGCTGCAGGCGGGGGAGCTGGTCTTCCGCCCTCGGGAGGGGGCAGATGGCCAGCCCGCTCTGGCAGAGACGCCCCCCACCGGCCCGGAATGTCCACCACCTGCCGAGTGAGCAGGCACCCCCCCACCACCACCGCCCCGACTATTTAAGGATGGCTGGCACCCTAGAACTGAGAGGGTTGGCCCCGTTCTCTAGAGAATAAATTTGATTATTTTCTAATGCTGCTTACAGCTCCCTCAGGGTGGGCGGGGAGCTGGCAGCTGGGGCTGGGCCGCAGAGGGCTGCTCCACCAGGAGCCAGTCAGCAGAGGCCAGGCTGCCCCCGTGATGGGCTGGACGGGAGCCCGGGGGCCGCCGAGAAGCAACAGGCTGCTCTGCCCCGAGTTGGGCGTGGGCAGCACTCTTGGGCCAACACACTAAGGCGCCACGTGACCCAGTTCCGTCATCATCTCTTTGGTGGCGCCTCACCTGGCCTCGCCTGCTCGGGTATAGTACCCTGCTCTTCCCCTGCCCAGAGTGGGGAGCTGGGCCGGCAGACACTGGCCATGACTGCTGCCAGGACCCAGAAAGCACCCACCTCAGGCCCATTCAGCACAGCAGCGAGCCTGGCACGAGAGGTGAGGCCCCAGGGCCGTCGGGCCTGGGGGAGCAGGCGGGCTCTGTACCCTCCGCAGTCGCGCTGCCGGGGCTCAGGGCCAGACGGCAGGGACAGCTGCTTGCCCGAAATCGGTGGAGCCTGGGCAGGCGCAGTGAGCCACCGGGCGCTCCGAGGGCCGGAGGGCACAGCACTGCCTGCACTAGGGGCAAGTAGAAGCCACGGGCGCGGTTGCCCCTCAGGCCTGTCGGCAGACGGCGCCCTGCCAGCGGCTCCAGTCCTCTACTAGAGGGCACCGCAGACGTGGAGGCTGGCTGGTGGATGTTGTGAGGCCCCCTCCTCGACGCCCTCCCCAACCTTCCCCCCTTGTTGCGAGCGTGGAGGGGGCGGCGCCGGCGAGCCAGGCCCCCCGCGGGGTGACGTGAGGGCTGTCAGATCCAACTGTGAAAGTGCCTTCCAGTGGCCAACTGGGATCTTGAAGTCACAGGTCACTTACACCACAGCGCTGAAATCGGTTCCGGCTCGGCATCTGATGAAAACCTCTCGGCCAGGATCGGTGACCCGCGGGGGGTTCAGTGGCCGGGAGGAGACGGGTCCCTCCTCCAGAGGCGGAGGGCGACGGCGGGCGTGGGGTGAGGGCTACTGCACCCTCAAGCCAGGGACCCTTGGCCACCCCACCCAAGTGACAATCACATCCACTCTTGACATGTTTTGTATTTTTTAATAAAGTTTGTAATCCAATGGACACACAAAACAAAACTGCGCTGAGAAAAACAGTTTCATAAATTAATAAGTGTTAGGAAGTTGGGGGCGAGACCAAGGTAGCAGGAGGAGGTGAGCCAGTCCGGTGCAGTCCGTGTGACACTTCACGTCGGCGCAGGCCCGTGCTGTCACGAAGCGCACTTGTACAAATGAGTGACGATACAAAGTCTGAGTATGAAAATAAGATTTTCTCTGAAAACACATTTTTTGGCACAGATTAAAAAAAATGTATGTCAGGGGAATTTGATTTTTAAGTCAGTATTATATATATTTATATATATTATATATTTATATATACACACATCCCAAGTTCTGCACATCCCACCAACAAAGGAAATCCTTGTTTGCTCTTTTTCAATTGTAAACTGTACATCCGGGTGAATCAGCGACGGTGGCGGCGAGAATGGAGGTGACACATGAGCAGGGCAAGGGCGGGTGGGGACCAACAACCCAGTGAGACGCTCCTTGACCCCAGGTTTCCGCGAAGCTCCGAGGCCGGCCAGTCTGGTGCGCGCACCACGGCGCCCAGCGTGTCGCAGCCCGTCTTCACTGTGCAAAAGTCCAAGTCACTAATTTAGTGCAAAGGCAGTTCCGTTTTGTTTCTTAAAAACAAAAATTTAATTCCACTGCCCTGTTCTTTTCTCCAAGAAGGAGAGAGAGACCCAGCCCCAAGGTGTCTGCGTGTCCATCCGTTGGTGGTCTGTCTGTCCTTGGGCTAAATGTAAACATACAGATAGCAGCACCACTGCCCGGTCGTCTGGGCGGGCGGGCGGGCGGGCGGGCGGGCAGGAGGCGAGTGGCCGTCTGGCAGCGGAGCCTGTCCCCTTCGGCAGCGCCTTCCTCCGCGTGGCTGGGTTGTCCTATGGGTCTTTTTCGCGGCAGAGCCCGGGAGCACACCCGAGGGCTGACCTGGCAGTGGCTCACACAGAGGCGATGACGATCATGAGGTGGGGAGAGATGTTGGAGATGCTGGCGAGGAGGTCAGGGGCCAGACGGGACAGGTGGCTCTCGGAGAACTCGCAGGGTGGGAAGATCTGCAGCACGTAGGCGGGCTGGAGGAGGGGCAGAAAGAAGTAGGGCCCCGCTTCACCTCGCTCACCCCACCACCCTTGCTCCTTTAGTCACGCCCAGCCAGGGGGCCCCTGAAGAGGCCCAGCGCACACGGGTTAAGTGTCTCCCAACCCACTTCTCCACAGCTGTCTGCTGGAAGAAGCCCAGGTGACCAAAGAGGCAGCCAGAACGCACGCCCCGGGGAACCTCTGCAGAGCTAAAGAGGAGGTTCCGTCCAGCTGTCCCTGACGGTCCCCAGGGAGGGCAATGGCTGCCTCCCCCCACCCCCGACACCCTGTCCAGACACCCTTCTGCCCACCACCTCTTCTGAAAGACTCCCCCAAGGGCCCACGCCACCAGGCCGGTCAGACGGCCTAACCCACCCAGATCAGCCCCCCATGTGTGCCAGGGACTGACGGCGGCTGACCTGATTGGAGCCAGGGTTGGGGACGTTGATGATCCCTGCCGCCTGCTTAGTCTGCAGGTAGGTGATGAAGGCGGCCTTGAGGGACTCGGTCTGGCTGACGACATCTTCTTGGTCACGACCGCAGGGCAGAGCCAGCAGCAAACAGTAGTCTGTCTCCACCTGGGGCAGAGGCAGCCGCGGTGGTCAAGGGCCTTCCCCACTGAACTGGCAGGGGCTCATCTAACCCCAGGGACCGGGCTCCCCAACCTGCAAACGCCTGGCTGGCGCTTGCCGCACAAGGAAGGCCTGCTTTCTGGGCCTGGAGGCACTTGTGCGCCTCCCCCCGACACTCCCGCCCCACACTGCCCGTCCCGGAAACGTCATCACCACGCCCCGCGACAGGCCAGGTGCCAGGCTGTGGTGCCCCGGCCGCTCAGCTCACCGTCATCCTGCGGGCCACTCCATCCAGCTGCGAGGCCTCTAGCCGCATCCTCTGGGCGATCCTCAGCGGGGGGCCCCCTTCAGAGAGTGGCAGGGAGCGGTGGGCCAGCACGTTGTTCCCAGAGACGAAGTGGAGCTGCACAGCAGCCGTGTCGTTCTTGAGAGCGAGCAGGCCCTGCCACACGATGGGGTACTTCTGCGGGGAGCAAACGGAGAGTGAGCTCCAGGCTGGCGAGCGGCGCCACGGCAGACATGGCCGCGCGAGGCAGCAGCTGGCGGGTCTGAGTGGGGATGTGGGGACGTGTCACACAAACTACTCTTGGAGGTGCGAGGGGGGCCCTGCCCATCCTTACCTTCAGGAGCTGGACCATATCCACGGGCCTCTGGGAAGTCAAGTGTGAAGAAGAATCTTGTTTGGGGGCGGGCTGGGCTTCGAGGTGTGGCAGGGCCAGGCCTGGGGGGGTGCTGGGGCCTGAGGTGGTGGGGACAAACAGCGGCTGCTTGGGGGCGGCCTGAGCGGGGAGAGGGGCCGGGAGGTCAGGCTTCATGGAGACAGACACGGGGGAGGGGTAGGAGGTCTGGCTGGTTTCGGCCTGCGCCCGCGGCATCGGGGCGTGAGGCTCGGCTGGCCTGCTGGGGGGCACAGCGGGGAGGCGCGGCTGCTCTACGGCTGTCTGGGTCCCCTTCGCCTCCTGGGAGACCGGGGGCAGCTTGCTGCTTGGTGGCTGGCCTGGCTGGCTGAGCTGCGAGGGCTGTGTAGGCTGGGCGGGCTGCGTGGACTGCACGGACTGGGCAGGTTGTGTAGACGGTGCCGGCTGAGCTGGCGGCAAGACCTCACCTTCAGGAGGGGGGCCCTGCAGTTGGGGGAGAGAAAGGAAGGAGTCAGCACCCACCACGCCGTGCAGGTCAGTCCCCAGCACAGCTCTGGCCGGTGGGCCCCAGAAGGGGTTTCAGCCAGGTTGGGGCTTGGGTCAGAGGTCGCCTGTCCCCTTCCACCCCCACCCAGAGCTCCTTCCGCAGGTCCCTTCACCCCGAAATTTAAGCAGCTCCTCTTGAGGCCATAGAAAGGCCCAACGTATGGGGCCTGCCCGGTACCCCAGCCGCCGCTGCCCGGAAGGCCCGTGTGGGTGCTCACCTGAGCAGGAGCCTTGGCGCGGGAGGGCAGGCCGACGGCGGCCGCGGCAGGGAACTGCGCGTGCGTGAGCTGCGCCGGGCCGTGGTAGGTGCGGATGTCTCCGTACCTGTACTCTTGAAAGAGCTCCCCGCTGGAGTGCACGATCTGCACCCCGTGCGTCACCACCACGGGCGGGGTCAGCGGTAGCCCCTGGATCTGGTTGCTGGGGGTGACTGTGAGGATGCGCGCCTCCCCGTGAGGGGCGGGCGCGGGGGCCGCTTTGGCATCTGCCGTCTTGGCCGCTTCCTTCCCGGGCTGCGGCGGAGCCTTGCTGGCCGGCGGCCCCTTCCCACCGCCGTCCGCCGCCCGGGGCTGCTCGCTGACGGCCGTCACGTGGGGGTGCACCATGATCCTCACGTCCCGCGGCACGGTGTAGGGGTGCAGGCGGTACTCAGACTGCATCACCAGCACTTCCGACTGCACGGGGGCGGCGGCTCGGGCGACCGGGAGGTGGTAGTGTACTTCTTCCTCGGGAGGGTGCTGGGGGGCCAGGGCGGGCACGCCCGCGGCGGCTGGCTGCGGGGTGCCCACGCGCTGCGGCGCCCTGACCTCTACCTGCTGGGGCTGCAGGGGAGCCCGCGGTGAGTGCAGCGTCTCTGGCCGGATGCTGTAGGTGATGCTGGGCAGGGCGGGCGTGTTCATCCTCACCTCGCCCTGGGACAGGTGGCTGAGGGACACGGTCTGGGTGATGCTGTGGGGAGGCATGATGACGGACTGCTCCGGGTGGATGCTGGAGATGAACTGCGGCACCGGAATGCCCGCGGCCAGCATGACCGTGGCGTTGGTGGAGAGCGCCGTGGACGTGGTGCTGCTGGGGTGGCCGGCCCTCGGGAACGGGGATGGCGTCGGCCCACTGGGTCGAGGAGAGTGGGCGTCTGGCTTTGTGGCTGCCAAGTGAGAGACAGTTCGATCTGTGGGGGTGCTGGGCCCCGAGGTGACGTGGTTCACTTCTGCAGGCAGCTTGCTGGGCAGAGCAGGAGGGTGATGGGGGGTGAGGGCGGACCCCAGGTTAGCCGGCTGAAGAACCTTGGTCTCGATCTTGAGGGTGACAGGGTCAGCAAGCTTTTTATTGGTCGTGACGATGCTCGGGGCGAGGACCAGCTGGTTATGAACCAGCACCGGGGGTGTGTTTATGCCCTGGGTGAGGACCTTCACGGTGCCGCCCTGGGTGACAGGGGTGGACACAGACAGGTGAATGGGCTCAGGCTTCTCCAAGGACGGCCGGTCGGCCTTCACAGACGAGATCACAGGGGACGCATTGTAGGTCTGGGCGGTGAGGACCAGTGTGGAATGGGTGGCCACGTTGGCGTAGCCGGAAGGAGCCTGAGGGCCTTTGGGTGGCGGCTGCGATGGGATGACAGCGTCGGGCTTGACCTGGGACTTGGACACCGACTGCTGAAATTCGATGTCCATGGCACTGGCAGGCGGGATCTGGCTGATCTTGGCGCTGATGCGCTGCGGGCCTTCCGTCTTCTGGCCTGAGTAGCTCAGGAGCACGACACCTTCTGAAGTGTTGACTCGCAGCCCGGCGCCGGAGCCCGCCTCTGCCGGCCGGTCGTCGATCACCGACATGGACCCTGGGTGGAAGCGGCTGTTCTCGTTGGTGCTTGACCTCTGTTTGCACTTTGAGGACGGTGTGATGACCGCGCCTGCCACCGTCACCGCGCCTGTCGTGGCAGTCGTACCCCCGGAGGCAGCAGTCACGGCGCCCGCGGTGACAGTCACAGCACCCGCGGCGGCACTTACCACACCTGTGGTGGCGCTCACGGTGCCCACAGTGGCGTTCACTGGGGTGGCGAGGACGTTCACAGGCCCCGTCAGGACGTTGACCGGCCCCTTCAGGAGGTTCACGGGGCCAGCGGGCGTGTTCACCAGGCCCTTCAGCGTGGTCACTGAGCCCTTCACCGGGCCCTTCAGTGCGTTCACGGGGCCGGTCAGCGTGTTCACTGGGACCAAGGAGACGTTCACCAGGCCAGTCAGGGCACTCACCAGGCCAGTGAGGGTTTGAGGAGCTGGTTTTGCCAGAGTTATCTTTTGTGAATTCTCCAAGTCAATGCTGACAGGCATCCGGCTGATGACAGAAGTAATTTTGGGTGCAATGACAGGAGCCACCTTCTCCTTGTCGGGGGCTACTGGGACCTCTGAAGACGGTGTATCCGAGGAGTTTGTAACCAGAGCTGCCGACTTTTCTTCTGAGGGAGGCTTTTTAGATTCAACCACAGGGGGCGGAGCCTCATGCAGACAAGGGGCAGCACTGACAGGCTCAGCGATGGCAGTAGTGACGCTCGTGGTGGTGACGCCCGTGGCGGAAACGTACTTGGGGTCCATGAGGATCTTCCTCAGAGTGCTGGAGCTGGTGTCAATGTCAGAGGCCTTTGTGTCTGGGGGAAGAGCTGGAGAGGGGGTGGATCGAGCCCGAGGTTCCTCCTGCCTCGTGATCCACTCTGTCACCTTCGTGGGGGGACTCTGGTGTGGGATCCCCCCGGCAGTCACGGGGGGTGGGAGTTTTGCTGCTGTTACAGAAGTAAGTGTGGGGGTAGGGGTGCTCGAATCACTGGGTGGGGTCACGGGGTCACTTTCAATGATGGAGTGCACCTTGAATCTGGCCTGAGGCTCCTCATCGCCTGGTGCTGGCTGTGAGGGAGGCGGGAGGTCTAGGGGTACAGACGATTTGGGTGGAGTCTTTTCTTCGGCGCTGCTTTCTGGGGGCAAATTCTCTGTGGGTGGAGTTTTACTTGGATCAGAAGCACGTGACTCGGGAGGACAGGACTGGGGCTTCTCACTCGGCTTTCCCTCCTGAGGAGCCTCAGGGGCTTGGACCGCCGTCCCCTCCTGTGCAGCGGGACTCCTGCTTGGAACCTGATCGGGGTCAGAGACGTGGGTCTCTGCAGCAACGGCAGTGACCCCCGTCCCCCCCGGCTTCTTTGTGTTCCGTTTGCGGCGTGCTCGAGCTTTCTGCCGCCCTTTGTCTTTCCGAGCAAGAGCAACTTCTGCTTCCTTCGATCCTTTGACTTCGGGCACCGGGTGGGAGGCTTCGCTGCGGTTCCCAACAGCTTCCCTGGGGTCTGCTGTGGCTGCTAAGGGGTCGGGAGCACTGACTGATGGCCCAGAAGATTCTGTAGGAGCCTCGGTCTCCAAGATGCCACACACAGCCTCATCCGTCTCAGGCCCCATTCCTTCCTCGGGAGGCTGCAGCCCTCGAGAGTGGGGCTGCCCCTCGGGCTGAGGCTCCGCGGGGTAAGGTGGAGGTGCCGGGAAGTGATCTGGCTCCCCGGGAATGTCGTTGATGATGGACCCGATGGCTGCAGCCAGCTCTGTTTCGCTCGCCTGGTGTGCAGGCTTGTCCCCGTCCTCTGCGGCGTGGCCCTCTGGTGCATCTGCTGCTGACGCCTTGAAAGTCCCAGAGGTTTCCGTGAGCTTTTCAATATTCTCCACGGCCTGTTCCAGCTCCATCTGCTGGGCTAACTGATTTGCTTCTGGGGACATTTTAGGCCCGTCGTCCTTCTCCGGTTCCTTGTCCGGATCACTGCTCAGTGGGGATGACAAGCGCCCGTCCTTCTGGGGACTCTCACTCTTCTCTGGGGAGACAGCAACCACCGCCAGCCCCACCTCCTTCTCCACAGCCAGAGCCGCAAGGCCGGCAGCCACTCCAGGACTGACACTAGAGTCCACGCTTTTCAGATTTGCAGATTTGTCCACGGCTGACCTGGAGTTTCGAGATCTTCCCCTCTTTGACTTGGAGTTTTTTTCAGGGGCTGTTTTCTTCTCCACCACTTCAACTGCAGGGGTTTCAGGTGCATTTTTGTCAGTGCTAACTTCTTTTTTGTCACGTTTCTGTTCACTTCCCGTTTCTTCTTTATCAGCCTTGGCCTTTGTGCTACTTTCTTTCATGTTTACTTGGGGATTCACCTCAGTGGTGGCCTCAGGACGTTCAGCGTCCACTTTTGGCTCACTTCTCCCTTTTTTTCCTTGTGGGCCTCCAGTGGCTCCTGACTTCTGGGATCGCGGGGACCTCCAACCCTCTGCTGGTTTCACCGTTTCCACGACTTCTTTTGCCTCAGCCTCATCCTCTTCCTCGGCTCTGCGGCGTGTCTTGGGGGGCCTTCCCCGCCTGGGCGTGGTAGGAGCTGCCGCTGCCTCCTGAAGCTCCCGCTCCAGCCTCTTCCTGGTCACTCGGGGCTGCTCCACGGGCTCCTTGGCCGGAGAGCGGTGCTCATGGTCCCCCATCGTTGCATAGACACTCCTCACGTTGCGGCGCCTTGTCCGGCTGAGGGGCAAACTCGGCTCGGGGTGTTCGGGGTCCGCAGCAGAGTGTTTGGAGGCAGTCCTTGTAATCTTCTCTGCCTCCATCTTCAATTCCAGAAGCTTCTGTGCTTCTCCCCGAGGAGAATTCGAGCGCTTGAGCTTTTCCCGGTCTATCCGCTCACTCTTCCTCGTGACGGGCTTCTCTATGACGCTCGCTGCAGCTGCCTGAACAGGGGTCTTGGAACGTTTGCTTTTGTTTGGCTTTTTGTCTTTTGCAGCAACTGGAGGGTCAACCTCTGCATCTTCCGAAGGCTGAGGTGGAACTTCAGGGACAGCTTCAGCTTTCTGATCTGCGCCAGGGTCAACGCCAGCAGCTGGGTCTGACTTCCCCACTGTTGGCTCACTGGCACCCTCAGGCTGTCTGGAGAGTGGCTGGGTACTGTCAGGTTCAGGAGCTGCCATGCTTTCAGCCTGGGAAAATGAGGCCCCAGGAGTTGGAGGCTTAGCATCCAGGTAAGTCAGCTGGTCTGGGGAAGAACCTTCCTCAGCTGACGGCAGCCCAGCAGCCTCTTTAGTGGCGTCGGCGCCTGGGAGCAAGTCTGCTCGTCCGGGCGGCTCCCCTGCAACAGGAGCCAGTTCAGACCCAGGTTTTGCTTCTTCTGTGATGGAGGCTGGCTCTGTGGCCTTCTCCTCTGTCACCGAAGGCACCTCTCCTGCTTTTTCACTGAGCGCCACCTTCTCCGGCACCGCCGACTCTGGAGTTACAGCGGTGACAGCAGGCGGTCCGAGCGAGGACGGAGATTTTAGTTCTGACTCTTTATTTTCAGAAGCGGAGTCCAGGGTCTTGGGGTGATTCTCTGAATCTTCCTGTTTCTCAGCCTCTTTGGGTTTTTGGTCCTTCTCTTTCTCTTTCTGTTGCATCCGTGTGAGTTCCATAAACCGGCTATGGAAAAGAACCACTGGCTCTTGGACCAAGTCAGGTGCGCTGCTGGCCCCGTCAGACGTCTGCCTCCCGTACAACCTCCCGGAAGCAAAGTCAGAATCTTCATCTTTTCTCTCCAGGTGCTGCAATCGCTTAGAGTCTTGTTCAAAGATTGAGCTGTGTAAAAAACGAGAGGCAAATAGTTCTTGCCTTTCCTGCTCCTCTTCTTTATGATCATCTTTTTTGTCGTCCATTTTTCCTTCTGAATCAGTCCGTATTTTCTTCTTTTTCATGTACCAGGATGGGATGGGCCTTGGTGCAGAGTCGACCTTTTCTTTATCTTTGTTGTTTCGAAAATTTGCAAACCTGGAGTCCCAGTCAAGAAAAGACCAATTTTCTTCTCGAGATGAAGAGAGGGACTTAGCTCTTTCAAGCAAAGCCTTAGTGTCTGGTGTGATGGTCTTGTCCAATGCAAAAGAATAAAACTTGTTCCTTTCCAAAGAACTGGAAAGTCTTTCATCTCGCTCACGTAGTTTATCTTCTCTGTCCCTCAATAAAAAAGACAACCGAGAACTTTCATATAACGCAGAGGCTCTGGGTGAGTGGGATTTGTGTTCGGCATCTTCATCAGAATCAGAGGGCACCTCACCAGGTTCTAAGTCACGCACCGACCGCTTTCGAAGGCTGTCTCTCTTGATTATGCTGTTTGGGAAGCTCACATCAAATCTGCTGCCATCTGGTTTCATCTGGGAGTCCCAGCGGTTCAGTTCATCTTCAGAATTCAAGACAGAAAGCTTTATTTTGGCCATGTCTGCCATCTGTTCTCTCCTGGTAGAATCGTAAGGATTAAATTTTAAGGACTCTTCTCTGACTGTTATATGAGAATAAGGGAGACCTTTCTCATCTACTTTAGGGGACCCTTTTACTGCCATTAGCCTAGGGGAGCCCACAGGGTCATCTTCTTCATGGAAGGAGCCATGTCGGATGCTGGGAGAACAGCCAGTCCTTTCAGAATCTTCACTGATCTGGCGTGAACTTCTGTAATTCCTCTCTCTCTTGGTACAGATCTCAAAATCAACATGGTCCATCCTTTTCTTTTTGCTAGGAGGAGAGTCATCAGTGACATCTTGAGGGGGTTTGCCTACCTCATGAACAAGACTCCGTCTTTCATATTCATCGACGTCTTTTTTAGGACTGCCGAACTTCTCAGACTTGGCTATCTCCATCTCCATCTGCTGTTTTCTACGACTCTGCTCCATTTGTTTTCGGTAACTCTGCGTGTGATCAATATCAATGCCAATTTTTTCTTCTGTATTTACTGAATGTGGTTTCTCTTGGCCTGATTTACATTCCAGTGTTTCATCACGAAGACTGCAATAGTTTTTCCTAATATCCTCTCTTTCTGGCCCTTGATCATCTACCAGATGCACCTGTTTGAGCTGTGGTTTCGAGGGAGTAAGTTTTTTTGACTGGGTCTCTTGGCTTTCCACAGACTCACCTACTGGTTCTCCTGGCCTTGCCTGAAGATCTGAGTTGGGCCTGGAGCCAGCCCCAGCAGAAACACTGGCAAGCTCCTGACAGTCTTTGGGGCTGGGAAAAGCATTTAGTCTGTCTAGTTTGATTTTTTTAGATTCTCTTTTAAGAATTTCTTTCCTCACAGGCTTTCTTTCCGACTCTCCTTCCCTCAGGAGAACGACATCTCTTGACGGCATGTCAGGCTGCTTTTTTAAAAGCACTCGAGTATCCTCCATTTCTGGACTACTTTTCTTGACTTCCGATTTCTGCCTCTCTGCTTTCAAATTGGATTCTGCAAAACGCCTTTTCCTGGCTTCCAGCTTCTCCAGATCCGCCGCGCTTACCCCATCTGTGGTCTGCTCTGGTTTCAGGTGTTTCCTAGGTTTCAGCCTGGCTTCCTTATCTACCACTTCTATGTGGCTTGAAAGTCCCTTCTCCTTTGGCATTTTGATCCTCCCAGATTCCACTTTAGACAAGTCAGATTTTGCAGGGTCTGTCTGAGAGGCCTGGAGTTTCTGATCTAGGGCAGAAGACTTGACAGCCTCGTTATCCAGCTTGGCTTTCAGCTTTTCCACGGGAGCATGGTCAAGAACCTTCCCCTCTTTTTCTTTCACTCGAGTCAATACCACACAAGGCATGAGTTCTAGGCGGTTCTTGGCCATTCCTTCTTTATCAGCTTTCTCTCTGCTCAGTTTATTAGAACTCCTGGGCTTTTCGGGGCTCTGTTCTCTCTCATTGTCTTGGTCTGTTTCTGAGGACTGAGAACTAGGGGAATGGACTTTTCCTTTTCGTTTCTGTTTGTCAGTTTTGTCCTTCTCCACTTTTTCCTTCCTTAATAAGCGTCTCTCTCTTTCTACTCTCTCAGGATCAAATGTTCGTTCTTTTTCTGTCTTTTCATTTTTTGTGTAGCGTTCCAAGCGAGACTTGTCAAGTTTATCATATCTTGGAGGGGAGAGTGAGCTACAGCTGCCACTCCGGTCTGAGGACCGGCTGTAGAGCCTCCTCTCGGAATCGCTGGGCAATCTCTCGGACTGGGAGGGCGACGCGCCAGGGCTCTGCGGGCGCCTCAAGTGCACTGGACTCTGGCTGCGCTCAATCGGCCTCCTCTCGTGGTCTCTGTCCCTGTCAGACTCAAATCTCTCACGCTCTCGTTCCCTTTGCCTGTAGCTGTACTCCCGAATATCTTGTTCATAGGGATCGCTCCTGTAATCCCTGTATTCCCGAGGATCATCATAATATCGGGATTCATAGTAGTCTCCTTGGTAGGTTTCCCACTCTGAATAAAATTCTCTCCCTCGAGCAGTATAGTCCCGTCTAGTATCCTCAGGATATGTCCCTGGAGTACGAACATTCTCATAATATGTACGATCTTGGCTATAGTCATAAGATCCCCTTCGTTCCTCTCTGCCAAAATGCAAAAAGAGTATGTTAGTTCTTCTGACTCCTTGTCACTCATGCAAATGAAATACCACTTTTAAACTACACAGCCCTATGCAAATGAGCCATTTGCATTCCTAAGCTGAGCTACTGATACAAGGAAAGCATCTTTTTCCACTCAGGCAGCAACTACACAGCAGGCTAACTCCTACACAATGGAAAGTCTATCCTCAAGTTCTAGCAAGGCATGAATGCCACCAGCACAAATCAAATGGGTCACAGCACGTCCCAACATCCTTTACTGCCTCCTCTGGGAGATAAACACCCTCCACAGGGGTATGCAGCCACGGGTAAGAATGAAAGGATACAGCCACAGTCTGATCACCAGCAAAATGAGTGACACTACGTGGTAATATGCAAAAGCTAACACCCACACAGCATTACTAAGCCCTCACAAGATGCTGGTCTTTAAAAATACCTTAATGTATGCACACAGGGAGGGTCTTAATGGCTTTTTGGTCTCAGGTACAAACAGACCACCAACACACCAACACACTTCCCACTCACTTACGGGTAAGGTTTCCAATAAGCTCTTAAGTATTAACAACGACTCCCAACAACTCCTTGGGGAGCCAGGAATGAGAACTTTATTGCTCTTTCTTTCCATACACATACACACAAACACACACTGACACAGGAAAGCTCTATATCAAAACTCAATTTCTAGTTGGGGGTCTACTGATTTTTGAACTTTTGGAATATAAATACAATCTATTAATGAAAACTTAAGAAGTTTGAGCTTTTAGATATTTTGGTTTGAGGGGACATTTTTTAAAGATTTACTTTATCTATGCATACAAGAGCTGGGGTACAGGCCAGAGATGTGGGGGATGAGAGGATTAACCAGAGACAGAGAGCCAAGGTGGGCATAGCAGGCAGATCCACTGATACACACTGCTGAGGGGAACGGTGGGGAGACAGGAGAGGTCTGCTGTACCATGTGGGTCAGCTCCCTGGCTGGGGATCGAACTCATGCACCACAACAGCTGGTGATAGCTAGACAGTGCGAGATTTAACCAGGTCCTGTACCAACAGGGAGGTCCTCAAGGTCTTTTCTTTTTTTAAATTAAAAATCTCCCCAGATGGGCCCTCCCCGGTGATACAACGGGTTAGGACGCAGCACCGCAAGCTAGCTGCAGCCGCTTCAGTGCAAGTTGGATTCCTGGCCCTGGAGATGACCCACATGGCGCAGCAGACCTCTCCTGTCTCGCCGCTGCTCCCCTCAGCAGTGTACTTTGTTGATCTGCCTACTCAGCTTCCCACTGTGTCTCTGGTGAATCCTCTCACTACCCTTGCACTTATGGCCTATACCCCAATTCTGTATGTATAAATAAATACATCTTTAAGTCAAATCTCCCCAGGTATTCAATGACCATAACACAGTGTTCCATGAGAAATGATTCAAAAGGACAAACATGTATAGTTATAATCCGACAAAATAACTTTTTCAAATTATAGAACAGTTTGCTGTGAAATGTATTTACCCTATAAGACACATGAAAACTGGATACATAAAAATAATACTGTGTCTCTACATGAGGGAAGGAAAAGGAAAAGTTTAGTTTTTCTAGGAGTAAGAGTAGAAATAAGGGGTGAGAAATAAAATGTAACTTGTTTGTAAAATTCAACTTGTATGACTAGCTTTGAAATACATACCTTCTTTCTGCTAACATTTCATAAAAGTCTCTGATATCTTGACCAGATTTTTCCATACAGTGATAAAATGCCAGCTGACTTTCCCGATTTGCAAAATCCACCTTAAGGGGGCAAAAACAAAACAAAACAGATCTTAATGATGGAAAGTATGGTCAAATTTGGAAGTTCTTCCCATCATAGTCCTCTAGACAAATTTCAAGAAAATGCTAATTCTATCTCAATTAACTGAAACACTCTTCATAACTAAAACTATCTTATAACCTGCAATACCTATTAAATTCTACACATATCTTGAAAAAGACTTAAAATTTAAGTTCCAGAATCGAGTCCTAAAGGAGTGGAAAAAGCAAAGTGAACAACTGAACCAATACCTACTTCGGATTCTAAGTTGTCGATTTAAAAATCAGATCAATTAAATCCAGCAATCACTGTTTTACATAAATTTGCTAGAACCAGTTAGGACATAAAACAAGTATGAAAGAATATTAAACGTCACTCCCAGCTGGGCCTCAGGGTTAGAAAACCTATGATAAGCACCATCTATTAATACTTTATTTTGAAGACGCTTGTTTCAATGTAATTATCAGTTATGAAATGCATCAACCTCTTCAAGCCATCACGGACAAAAGTTTTAAAACAAAAACACCAGACCAAAAAATAAATCATACTTTTCAGTGGTTACCCACTCTTTAGGAGTGAAGAAAAACGCAAGAAAGAATCATTCAGGAAGCTGAAATGCCTGGCACATGGAGATCCTGGGTATGCAGATACCCACAGGTGACTCTGGGTAGCCTGCACCAGGTTACAGAGGTGAGCCTCAGAGCCCCAGGTCATGGAGAAGCAAACTCTCTGAATGACAGGACTTCTAAGGAAGGTGCTAGAGTTAATGCTTAACAGACCCTGTGCTCTTAAGTAACTGAGCATAAAAATTACAAACCTCCTGCCTTAAAAACTAAGGCTATGACAAAAGATGACCTGTAAACCAATGCCCTTGCTGACCACCTATAAAGTGCCAGTCATTAAGCAGGCTAGGCCTGAACACAATTTTGTTGTTCTAATTACACTCATTCTACACACCTTAATTTTGTTCCCACCAATTTTTCTCCCCTTGGTCTCCTTTACAGCTGCTTGAGCATATTCGATTTCATTGTAGAGAACCAGGGCCATGCCTTTTAAGCGGTCAAACACCACCTGTAAAAAAAAACAAGAAACAACAAAACAAAACCAGGTAAAAGCCTCATCCATTAGACTAAACATCAGTGCCAACAAAATCCTGTCACAAGGACACCACCAAGAAAAAAATAGGCTTTTTATAATATATAAAAATTTCATGCATGCTTTTCCTGATGATGTAATCAGGTAGTGAAAATGTACTGAAACTATTCAGAATTGTGCATGATGACGCTGGCAGTGATTATTCCTTTACCTGTCTGTACTTTACTTTGTTTTCCAAGCTAAATGAGTACTGTAAGTAAGAATTCCTTAGTTTTGTTAAACAAACAAACATCCTTGAGGGGCCCTCTCTGGTGGCTCAACCAACAGGATAGAGCACAGCACTGTGAAGCTATTAGCAGCCACTTCAGCACAAGTTTGATCCGCAGCCAGGGGGCTGACCCACAGGACGCAGCAGACCTCTCCTGTCTCGCCCACTGCTCCCCTCAGCAGTGTAATTCAGTCCACCTGCCTGTTCTGTTCCCCCCTGTGTCTAGTGAATCCTCTCACCCCCCTGTACTGCTGGTATGCATGTACCCCAGTTTTGTATGTGTAAATAAATCCTTAAAATAAAATAAAGTCCTCTTTAAAAAAAAAAAATCCTTGAACAAAGAAAAAAGTACACTGAACCAAAAAAGTACACTGAACTAAAGAATTTTAGTGAATCGTGGGTATAAGTGTTACTATTGTCTTGATGGCTGCCGGAATTTTAATCAAAATTTAGCAACAAAACTGTATTTGAAGAAATGTCAGAGTCACACAATATACCTAACACCACAGAGTGAACCTGCTCTTCCGTAGCTAAAAGCTTTACCTTCATATCATGAAATGGGACCCAAAAGACCCTTTTCCAGTTACATAACAAACACTGGGTAGATGACTATTCTGTTGGGTGAACATCCCTTTAAAGTCACCCTCCCTGGTGGCGCAGCGGGTTAAAGCACAGCCCTGAGAATCTAAAGCCGCTTCCGCCTGAGTTCCATTCCCGCCTGCCCCGGAGGTGACCCACATAGTGCGGCAGACCTCTCCTGACCCGCCCGCTGCTCCCCTCAGCAGTGTACTTCCTCGATCTGCCTTTTCTGTTCCCCACTCTGTTTCTGGTGAAGCCTCTCACCGCCCCTGAACCTCTGGCCTGTACCCCAGTTCTGTAAGCACAAATAAATCTTAAAAAAAAAAAAAAAAGTCACCATAGTTTAAAAAAAAAATCAAGTTTTAATATTTATGTAAATATTATTACACTAATATTAATATTGCATATTAATTCTGATTACATGAGTATGTATGTGATTAATTATAATTAAGCTAATTTTAAAGTGAGATAAAATTATAAAAACATTAAGAAACATTCTATTTAACCATATTGTGATTAATTTCAAAATGAATCATCTCAACTAGTTCAAAACATTTTTAAAATATGTACACATTATAACCTAAGAGATGCAAATGTATGTGTGAGCTACTATAGAAAAGGTTCACACTAGAACTCAGAATTGAGAGTACAGAACACCAAGAAAAGGGAGTCAGATAAGACTCTAAGCCACAATACCTGACACCTACCTTTACCACAGGCCCATATCGGCAAAAATGTCGTGTTAAATACTGATCAGACACATTTGAAGAAAGCCCATCTAACCACACGCAATTTGTGGGCATGCTCTTTCCAAAACCCAGCTGAATAGAAAAAGTGAAATTTCTGTTAGTATAGTCACAAATCATTCAACTAAAGAATTCAAAGAAACTGTCTTTGGCAGAAATCTTACTGAACCAGTGCCTCAAATGGGAATCATCCAGTCAAAATCAAACAGAAATTTACAGAAATGTAATCCTGCTTAACTAAGCAAATATTAATTCAGATTACAGAGCAATAGGATGAGGATACAAAGAAGTCCATCACCTTCATAGTTTTCTAATTGTACCTTGCAATTTTAAATAGTGAGATGTAAGCACAAAAACTCCAAATCTTAAAAACATAGCAAGTCTCAACAACACCATGACTTATGCAAATTCTTTACCTTGAGGCGATTATTTCCTAGGTATTCCCCGTCCATCTTCTTAATAGCTTTACACACACTGGCGATATCACAGTACTGCAAGAACGCATACTGGGGAACCCCATTTACTTTCTTAATATCGATGTCCTGGAAAAGTCAGCAGATGCCACTTAGTGACAGGACAAGAAAACAACGCAAGTCCACACGAGGTATATATTTCTCAAAACAGTCACAATCCCTCAAATCATTTTCTCATTAAAATGTTCATCTTAATACAACTGTAAATTAGTAATCTAGAAAACCATACAACACATTATATGACTATTTCATAAATCATGAAACCCTTCCTGTGTAAAGCCCTTTGCTGAAGAGTCACTACACTGCAACTCAGAATTTAGTATCTACAATACCTGTGTTAAAAGAAATACATGATAACACATTCAGTGAAAATCTAAGAAATAATTCCCTTATACAGTATCTAAAATTTTTCCTGATTAGAGAAAGGTCATTTAAAACTATTCCTATATCAAACAGTGAAATTAAGAATGATAAGGAAATCAAGTTTTAAAAAAGTGACTTATAAATCTTTAGGGCCCTGCCTGGCAGCACAATGAGTTAAAGTGCAGCACTATGAAGCTAGCCAGAGCCAATCCCCTGCCAGGAGCTGACCCACAGGGCGGGGCAGACCTCTCCTGTCCCACCAGCTGCTCCCCTCAGCAGTGTACCTCATCAATCTGCCTGTTCTGTTCCCCATTCTGTCTCTAGTGAGACTTCTCACCAGCCACACCTCTGGCCTGTACCCCAGTTCTTGTATGCATAAATAAATCTTTTTTAAAACATGGGGCCCTCCCTGGTGGCGCAATGGTTTGTTGAAGCACAGCACTGTGAAGCTAGCTCCTTCAGCATGAGTTTGCTCCCCGCCCAGAGAGGTGACCCACATGGCATGGCAGACCTCTTCTGTCTCACCTGCTGCTCCCCTCAGCAATCTGGCCTGTTCTGCTCCCCACTCTGGTGAATCCTCTCACTGCCCCTGCACCTCTGGCCTATACCCCAATTCTGTATGCATAAATAAGTAAATCTTTAAATAAATATAAGTAAATAAATAATATGAATTGTAATTTATTCTGAATTAGAAAAATCATTTTCTCAGCATACTGATTGAACCAAATACTGGTAATTGATAAACCTGGCAATAACCTCTCATATCCAGAACAAATGGAAAAATATCTGAACAACTTTGTGCCAAAGCATCAGAATTATCATCCCTGGATTTAAGGAATATTTTCCAACTCTTAGGAAAACTCAAAACATGGAACACATCTGACATTCTGGTACTGACTATTTAAATGAAGAGGCAGAAAATACCCTAGCGTACTCATGAAAGTAGTTTGAGAAACCAGATGTTTGCTCAAATAGTAAAACTTGTGCTTAAATAATCCTGACCCACATACAGCAATATACTGTGATTAACTGACCCTCCTTACGGGTCACAAGTCAATGATCAAAACCTGAAACACAGCAAAATGAATAAAGAGCAGCTTAATGGGCTCTTAAAAACTTTTGTATAATACTGTATCAACTACAGTTTTAACTAGTGGTAGGCAGATTATTTTCTCCACTATGTAGAACATAATAGTCCAAGATAATACCTTTTAAGAGACATGGCCTCCATTTCTTTATATTAGTAAGCAAATAAATAAAATTATAAAAAAGAGAGAGAGAAATGGTTTCCAAAGAATATTGGCAGGCAGCCTCACAAAGTTTCGGCTAAAGCATAGTCTGTTATCAATAATCAGCATTTGTTTTTCCAAAGTGTGTGTCATAAAAATAGTGACACCAAAAATGGGAAGGATTCTGTAATACAATTTAAAAAACAAAACAAAAACAGTGAACCAGTGAGCAACTGCAGGCGACAGCTTCTGAGGTTCTGATTTTCAGACAGACTACTGCTATGCCCACCTTAGTGAGAAGCACAGCTCTTCAAACACAATACTCATTCTATTTTTAGAAACCCAGTAATGAGAATAGATCCATGTGCTTAAAGTACACCCTTTTATATGCCTCCAAAATAAAAATGTTTTCTGAAAGTGTTATCAATTCATAGAACTCACGAATGTCAAACAGCAAATTAAATGATAGAGTACTGTCTAAATAACAAAAGTAGGAGCCCAGAGAGGTAAACGAATTACAGTTCACTTATCCAGGTAGGCTGTAGAGCTAGGATTAGAATATACACTGCTCTTTAAAAATAACACAACTCTGGCCCTCCCTGGTGGCGCAGCGGGTTAAAGTACAGCACTGAGAAGCTAAAGCTACTTCCGCATGAGTTCGATTCCCGCCTGCCCCGGAGGTGACCACATGGCGTGGCAGACCTCTCCTGACCCGCCCGCTGCTCC